CAATACAACAGCTCCCCTCCCACTTCCTCTCCATAGTTACTTCTTCCCTGTGTCCTTCCCTCCCATGTACTCCTGTCCCCTGAGCTGTCTCCCTGTGCATACACAGTCCTTCTATTCTCCCATGATTGATCTCTCCAAGGAGTGTATCTACCTAATGTGAATGTTCAGCTCATATGCCTGTCTTTTGTTTGGCTGGAAGCCACTGGTGTGGGTTCAATTCCAGACCTGAAGGGCAGCTAGGGGCCATAGTCTCAGTGGTTCCATCAGGCTCTATCAGACCAGCAAACCTGGTCTATACTGGGAAATTTTACCTATATTCACCAATTGCCACAGCCTGGGAAACATGGCCCATGACCAGGGCTCTTGAGGGTGCCCTCCTCACCCTGTTCTTTAATCCAGGATCTTTTTTCACAGTCCCTGCCCCTAAGTGGGTGCAACTGTTTGCTTCTAAACAAAAACCCAAAACCAAGTGCACTGCCATTGAGTCGATTTCAACTCACAGTGATCCCCATTGGGTTTCCAAGACTGTAAATCTTTACTGAAGTAGATTGCATCGTCTTCCTCCCGTGGAGCAGCTGGTAGGTTTGAACTGCCGACCTTTTGGTTAGCAGCCAAATGCCTTACCCACTATGCCACCAGGGCTCCTTTTGGGTCTCGGGAGTCTAATGCCTAGATTAACCTACTTTGGTCTACATATCTCCATCTCTTTTCCATCTGATTCCCTTCTAGGTCCCTGGAGACTCCTTCCTGAATCCTCCTCCTCCTGGGGCCAGTTTCATCTCATCTCAGAGCAGAAGGCATTGCATCTCCTTAATCAGGACAATGAGAAGAGATACTAGGTAAGAAGAATGGACAGAACCTGATAACTGGAAAAGGGAGACCAAGGAAAGGCAACAAGCAAAAGTGACTCCAACCAGCTGGGAAGATTCTGGTGCCATTGATACAAAGCCGGGAGCTGGTGGGTATGATCTGGAGGGGTGGCAAGCTGGGGTAGACAGTCCAGGCCACTTTGGTGGAGGTGAGGCAAGTGCAGGGACTCCTCTGCACAGAGCCTGGGCACAGGATGTTCAATCAGTATTTGTGGAAGGAATGAAGGTGCTGTTGCCCATAAGCATGTTACTAAACTCT